TAGTATGAGAATCGAAGGGTAAAATTCTCCGAAGAATCTGCGTAGTGTGCATTCGCATTGATGATCTTTCTTTCCTCGGTTGTGGTCCTAATCTTCTAATATGATGCAACTTTATCGTCAAAGTAGGAGTAGCCACTTCGGTAACTTGGCCAAAAACGATTCAGCCGAGGTGCGTTTGTTGGGCGACTGGTTGATCCTTTAACCCCTAGCGAATTTCTGGGAGAATAAATTGCGGGATCACGTCTACCCCTAGGTCGGTTCGGCGTGATTGCAAAAAGTTAGGATCTGCGAGCACCAGACCTTGTAGATGGTGACAGTTCTGCAGGCTTATCGTCTGCTTAGGTAAATGAGTTTTAAGAAAGTTGAGATTGAAAACCGGTTCAATGCCTGCCGGTAAGCTGTTAGACCTGCAACTCCAGCAATATCGGATGCAGCAGGGTGTCGTTTCAATCCGAAGCGTTCAGTGATGATTGTTCCTTCTGATCCCGAATTCACTAAGGCACGGACAATCGTAGATTGGTCAATTCTGTTGTTATGGTTTATTACAAGTGCGGTCTGAAGTGGAGCTGCAGACGGCGAAAGTTCACTGGAATGAAAGTTATGGTCTGTATCAGCGGATGAGCTTCCCGGTGACATCGTCGTGTTCGCAGTATGTTGAGGAAAATGTAAAAGAGTATGGTGTCTTTGATCACATTGTATGCAATTTCGACTGCTCAGGCATTGCGATAGTGTATGCGCGTTGCTGAGACAGGCTTTGCATTTGTCTACGATGGATTTCCGGGCAAAGGAATTCTTATGTAGAAAATCTGGACAGCGACGCAGGTCATGAGGCCCTCCACAGTGCATGCAACGCAGTGATGGTGCTACTGTTCCGGTCATGGTGTGCAAACTATTACCCCTATGCACGGAGCTGTTGGCGGGTCTGCTGGGAGTCCGTGACGTCGATTGATTTGTTGGGAGAACGTTAGAATGTTTACTGAGTTTCCAAGGTTGTATTCCCAGGATTGAACAGTTGAAGCTGGGAGCTTGTTTAAAAGGTAATGAACAATCCTGTGGTCCGCGTTACAGATGGGAACATTAAGTCGTGTGAGTGCATTGATGCATACCAGTGTAACATTGATCATATGCTTCAGGTCAGAAGCCTTTTTCTTTGATAGTTGTGGCGGATCATACAGCGAATTTATGTGGTACATGAATGTAGTCGCAAAAGTTATTATTATTATTATTATTTATTGTTTAGACTTCCTAACGCTACAAGTCCTAAAACTTATAAATTACTGCGCTAGTCACAACTGGTAAACATATTTAAATTTGGACAAAATTGGTTCTTAAATCTAATGACATTGTTACATTAATTGATGAACATTTAAAATGACTAAAGGTAAATCGAAATTAAAAAACTGAGGAAAAGGTTTTGGGGATGAGTCGCAATGTTTAGATAGGATATGATACCTTATAGCAGACTAGAACTGCTATTTTTTAGGTGTGAGAGAAGTTTTGTCTTAAATAGAGTTGCGCTCATAGTTTATTTTAGCTCGTTCCACGTTCTAATCGTATTTATAAAAAATTGTCTATTTGAAAGCAGAAACCTGTGTCGGATGCAGATAATATTCTTTGTTCTTGTAGATTTGGAGAATTGTAATTTTTCAAATAAGTATGATGGCTCTCTGGTGTATATAAGTTTGTGTAAAAAGATTATTGTTCTACTTTTTATATAATCTGCCAAGCTTATATCAAATATCTGGTAAGCAAATTGAGTTACATGGTCAGATCTATGCAAATTAAATATAAAACGCGCAATACTATTGTATGCTATTTTCAGCTAATGTTGACTTGCTACATCACAATTTGCATAGATCTCTAGACCATAGACGAGTGTGGGTATTATACAAGACTTCGCAATTAGAAGACGCACACTAACAGGTAAAAAACATTTAACTAGTGACAAGGATCTCATTAGTCCGTATGTTTTGCCTACAGCTTTGTTTACGTGGTCATTCCAGTACAAGGTTATATTAATTGTGATACCCAAATTATTGGCGGTTTCCACGTACTCAATTGGTGTTTCGTTAATCATCAGGGGTAAATATTCAATATTGCGTTTTTATATATGGCAAGACCGTTGTTTTTTTGCCCATTCATTTACTTTTGCAATCTGCATTCTACAAATATCTAAACACCCACTAACATTCTAACACAGTGAGGATCATCTGATGAACACCTTCGTCTTGGCTCGTCGGAAGCGCTTGTTATAGAAAAAGAAATTTTTGTGTGTCAGACAGAACTGTGTTGTCGTGTATAAGTAGGATAAAGGCGTCGTAAAATGGCGGCCAACTCACGGCCTTTTCGCTGTACGTTGGTACAGGCACTTTGACTATTTGTACAGGCGGTGTTGCGGCTATTTTGGAGCTCTGGGCGTTAGTATTGTTCGGCGAAGGATATATTACTCCTAGAATGGTGGGAGGAAACTTTGCTTCAAAGGACTCTGCTACGACACGCGGAATAGTTGCATAATCTTCGTCGAACTGAAAGGCACCTGAGTTTGACGCTGATTGAAGCTGCAGATTATTTTTATTGAATTCATCGTTCATAGTTTCTAGCTGTCGTATTCGTAGCTGAAAGTAGGAAGCTGTTTTACGCTCCGCGCTGTCCTTTTTAAAATTTCGATGTAGATTTTCTAGTCGTAGGACAATATCATGTTGCGCGGTAGCTAACTCTTGCAGCTGTCGTCTATATTTCGTGATCGTCGTCTTCTTTGTGTTCGTCGTTTTGGTTTCCGATATGTATGTCGTCCTCTTTGTACTCGTCGTTCCAGTTAAGATCGGACCAACTATATGCTGGTAAAGGTTATTAGATTAAGTTAGGATGTCGCAATAAAAAGTGCGGATGTCTGTTATAAAAAGGGTCCCCTCATGGGCCTCCAAAAATGTTGTGAAACTTTTCTGCAACAGTTTCATAGATGAGCATAACACTGCTCTGGGGACTTTTCCTTTTCACAAATTAATGAATCGATACGATGGATGGGTTTAATGTTCTCTATTTACTTTATTCTTAATAAAATACAAATCGGAGTTTTAAGTTTTAAGAAGTTCGAGCAGAGATGAAAAAACACGACCAGCTTTCGGGTAGTTCACCAGTACAATTACAAGATTGCAACCCGATCAGCTGTAAGCTTAACACTGTGATTTGCAAAGCACCCGACACAACTGTCCAGGTCGATTTACGGTGCACCCGACAAAACTGTCCAAAAGAGTTTTACTACCTATTTGGTTTTTACATAATTAATTTAAATGTATCTTTATTATTGCCAACCTTGTTTTTTTTTGGATTTTTGTTATTTGTTAATAAGAAAAGTAAAAACAAGGAAGAACGCTTTAGTCGAGTACCTCGACTATCAGATATTCGTTACTCAGCTAAAGGGATCAAAGGGAGATGGAGATATGCAAGCAACAAAACGAGATTGTAATGCGCATCCTACCCGCGAACTCAATATATGGTTATGTGGGCGGCAGACAGATTTAAATCCCATTTCTCTATCTTTGATAGTTTCCGAGATCTCAGCGTTCATACGGACTGACAGACAGACGGACAGCGGACATGGCTAGATCGACTAGGCTAGTGATCCTGATCAAGAATATATATACTTTATGGGGTCGGAAACGCTTCCTTCGGCCTGTTACATACTTTTCGACGAATCTAGTATACCCCTTTACTCTGCGAGTAACGCGTATAACTGTTATACAAAAAATAACACTATGGCAGTATAAACATGTATGTGTGAATGCATTGTATAGAAGTTCCAGTGCGGCAAACGTCGGATCTAATAGCTCTTGGGGCCCTTTGGCTAGATAAACCATTTACCGGTACTTTCGTCCATCAACTTTCGCAGGCGGACTTCCTCCTGGATAAAGTTGAACTCAGGAAAAACATTCAAGAAGTCCTTCTGGACACTATTCTTCTTCCAGTCGGTGGTCGGTGGTCTGCATGGGAGTAGCACCTCTAAACCAGTGCCAGGGAGATCAAAACAAATTCTGTTTGTCTTCTCTACTTTGCTGGGATCTTGTATACCGGACTGGAGCTTTCACGAGCCTCCAAAACTGGAAGGATTAACTAGGTGCTCCCACCTAGGGGTAATGTTTCTCCACTTTCCCTATCTTGGGAGTCGATGAATTTGCATTTTCGTCTGCCCTTATCAGTCTGAGTCTGGTTGGTCAATTGGTCCCCTCCCCCGACTCAAGATGTTGTTTCTTTAGGTGAATCTTTGTATGGGGAGGACGTACGTAACAGGCTCGAAGTGATCAATGTAACCTTAGTTAAATGTTCAGTATTTTTCTCCTTTTTTTCCTTTTTTAAAAGCGCCCATTTACGTGTGGCTACGAGCCACTACTATAACCCAGTCTCAGTTTGAAGACCTAGTTGGACTTATTGTTTTAGTGGATTAATTGTTTACTTATTTAATATTTTCCTGAAATCAGATGAGAGCTTTCCGGCCTCGCACGGAAACATAAATATACATAAATATACCTGCAAATAGGAAATATAGTGCCTGCTAAAATTGTGTGTGTGTAACCACGGTGTTGACCATTGACCTCTCAGCTACACTGGAAACAAATAATTGCATTTTCTTCTACCTTTATCAGTCTGAGTCTAGTTAGTCAAATGCAGCCCTCTCCTCGACTCTAGACTCATAACACGACGTAACAAGGTTCGTGTAATTTTCTTAGGCAGTGTTGTGAAATTTTTTCTTTCTTTCTTTCTTTGGGTCAATCGATAGGTATTGCCGCGGCTAATACATTTCAGTTAAATTTTTTTTCCTGCATAAAAATTTTGGGCGCCACAGATTTTGCGTAATAGTCTTGCGCTGCGTACAGGGCAACGGAATCTAAATCTGAAAACCCAATTCTCTATCTTTGATAGTTTCCGAGCTATCCGCGTTCATATATACGATTTTTTGAAGTTTGTGGGCGGCTTGTGGGCGTTCAAGTGGGTGTGGCAAACTTTTTTTTGGGTCAATCTTATCTTATGTTCAAAATTCAATAACTTATCTTAAATATATTCGCTAAAACTCACTTTCATACTTCCTGAAAAGCTAAGGCTATTGTTTTCTACCTTCATTGCCCGCGTCTTCCAAACTTTCTATGGCAAAATTGGCTTTAATAATCTCCTTATTACCTTGGTAAAACTCTTTACAATTTCTGTGTATTAATTCTGCCTGCTTGTCTTTTCACGGAGAATAAAGCATTACAAATGCTATAAAATAATTCGGTCTATCCGTATTACCAGTGAAGAGGCTAAACCTAATTATACTATTCCTTTCTCTTGTAAAACCGTCGCGACGCCCGAAATAAACTTCTCCTAAAATATAATTTTCATCTTCAACTTCATTGTGTGAACAGCGCCTAATATAGTATATACCAAACCTTCGATATTAGTGTAGAATAAGTCCCTTTTTATAATGTTACCAGACTCTGAAAATGTAAAGTAGTCGAGACAGAGTCGTACTCAAGAGCAGAACGTGCGCAGAACACTTATAGTTATAATTTCTATATGTAATAATATATCCAACGCAACTATCCTAAATAAAACCTACACCACTCGAAAAGCTACCCTTCTCAGTTCAGAAGTGGGATCAGTGTGGTTGGATATGTATGAAGCGGAGGAGTTGTGCCAAGAACTCTAAGAAAGCAGCAAGAATCGTCGGCGTGGAAAGTTTGCAATGGGATGTGTTCCCAGGTCTATGTGACAGCTTAAATTGCAAATTACGGATGTGTTCCAGTTCTACGTGGCAGGCGGATTCAAGGAAAGCAGATCGGGAATCTTAGTGAAGCCGTGGAGTCAAGCATATCAGTTAGATCAGGATTCTTAGTGAGCCTGTGGCCGCAGAAGTCTCAAGAGCAGCAGAAGTCTCAAGAGAAGCCAAAGCACATACACACAAAGCGGTTGTGAGTATTGGTGAATTTTACAAGTCGATGCAAGTCAGAATTTTCTAGAAGCCGGAGCACATACATGCATACAAGGAGTTTGTGTGTATTGGTCAAGGGAGAAAGCAGATGCAGAACTTTGTGAGGTACATATAGTTGTCTCGCTCGCAAAGAGGACTGCCAACTTAGGCGCTAAAACAACATTAAAATGCCGAAGATAGCAGATCTTAAGGGCGACGTGTTAAGATTCCTGCTGAGATCTAGAAACGTGTCAGTTTCGGGCACCAGAGCCGAATTGGGTAAAAGACTAATTGAGTTTGAACAATCGGAGGACGTAGAACTGCCAGCAGCAGTGGGTATCAACATGCAGCAAGAAGAAACGATGTCAGCACAGTCAGCGGCAATTTCACAATTGCAAAACGAGATGAAGGAACTAAAGGACATGTTAGCTCAATTAGTTACCGTTCAAATCGGAAACGCAGCACCAGCACATGCAGGAAATCAGCAACAGCACCAAAAAATCGATTTGGATATCAACGAGATCAACAACGAGAGCATTCCTGTTCAGGCTACTAACAACGTGAGGCAAATGGGAAACGCAGCACCAGCACATGCAGGAAATCAGCAACAGCACCAAATAATCGATTTGGATATCAACGAGATCAACAACGAGAGCATTCCTGTTCAGGCTACTAACAACGTGAGGCAAGCTTCAGTCAAGGAAATTGCCAACACCTTGCCGGAATTTGATCCCAACGACGACCACGCCATTTCAGTCAATCAGTTCATCGATCGTGTCAACAAAGTGGCTGATGCCTACCAGTGGGACGAGAAGTTCCTGTTACTCGCCATCTATACAAAGCTAAAAGGTCCAGCCAAGATGTGGCTAGATTCATCACCCATTCTACACACTACGTGGAAAAACTTCGCCGAAGCTATAAAGGACGAGTTTGGCGCAAATCCAGACGAAGCAGAAGTGCATTTCAACATGGCCAATGCAACCAGGCGATCAAAGGAGACGGTAAAGGAGTACTGTTTCAGGATGTCAGCCCTTGGGGTGCGTTACAAGCTCAGCGAGGCAGCGATCATCAGATATGTTCGCGCAGGTCTACAGCATCGTGAATTGCAAAACAGTATTGCAGCAATTCATTTCGTCACAATGAAACAGCCGAATCGTATTTCGTTAATCGAGGTCGGTCAAGTACGAGCAAGAAAGAGTATTCACCGAAAGCCAGCCACTTCGAGCAGAAGCCAGACAGCGATGTTAAGCCACCAAGGACAAAGGAATCCGTAATATGCTACAACTGCGGAGAAAAGGGACAAGAAAAAGTCACGCTGTACCAAATGCAACAAGTTCCACGAGCCAAATGGAAGTTGCCAAGCCACCAATGTCATGCGTTTAGGAGCCGCAAATCAGGACAAACTTTTCACTAGGAAAATCTGCGTACACTCGCACGATTACAGCGCCTTCATCGACACAGGTAGTCAAGCCAGTCTCATCCGACAATCGGTTGCCGAGCAAATTAACGCCAAGCGCCACAAGTGCTCTATGAAGATTAGAGGCATTTGCGGAGGTTCATGTATCCTCACAGAAGCGATGACTGTGGATATGGATATCGATGGGAAGACGATTACAGCGAAAGTGTATATAGCAGACATCGATATATTGCAGGAGGACTTTCTGTTGGGACAGGACGTCATCATTTCCGCTCATCTCGAGCTCAACTTTGAGTCAGGCGATTCTAAAATCAAACGAGCAGTCCATCAGCCGACAACCCCTGTAAGCACCAATATCGGGAAGCTGCTAGAAAATTTTGAGAACGCCAAAGAATGTAAGCAAATGCGCAGCTTACTAGAGAACTTAGCCGATGTTTTCTCGACAGGATTGGAAGGCATAGGAAAGACAAGCGTGGTCAAAGCAGACATCACCGTCGAAAGCAATCAGGTAGTAGCACAAGCCCCTTACCGAGTATCCGAGCCAAAGAAAGAAATCGTAAGCAGAATGGTCGACGAGCTACTAAAGCAGGACATCATTACGTTGTCAACATCAGAGTACGCCAGCCCGGTGGTGCTCATCAAGAAGCCGAATGGTAGCGATCGAATGTGCGTCGATTACCGCCGCCTAAACAAGCTGATCAAGAAGGAGAATTTTCCAGTGCCAAACATCGAAGAACGTCTGCAGCAGGCGAAAAGATTTAAGTACTTCTCATCCCTAGACCTCAACAGTGGATACTATCAGATAGAGATAGCCCCAGAGAGCCGAAAATTTACTGCATTCATCACCACAGATGGATTATACGAATTCAAGCGACTTCCGTTCGGATTGAAGAACGCACGTGCGGTTTTCAATCGACTCATGGCAGAGTTACAAAAGAGAGTGCAGAAAGGCGACATGATACACTACATGGACGACATCCTTATTGGCAGTCAAACATTTGATGAGATGTACGAGAAGCTTGAGAGGATCCTGAAAGTTTTAAAGGAGGGCGGATTAACGTTAAACCTGGACAAATGTGAGTTATATAAGCAGTCAATAACATTCCTTGGTCACCAGATACACGCAGAAGGAATCAGTCCTGGAGAAATTAAGACGAACGCCATCAGAATGTTCCCGAAACCAGCCAATGTTACCGATGTGAGAAATTTTTTGGGTCTCACTGGTTATTTCCGCAAATTCGTTGCTGGATATGCCATCATTTCAGAGCCATTGAGAATCCTATTGCGCAAGGATCAGCCGTTTTCTTGGAAAGCGCCACAAGAAGCCTTCGACGAATTAAAACAATGCCTAGTATCAAATCCAGTTGTCACCAGCTATCGTCTAGACGCAGATCATGAACTACATACCGATGCCAGCGCCGTTGGTTTAGCCGGAGTTTTGCTACAACGTGAGGAGGACCAGATGAAACCAATCGCTTATTATAGCCGAGCTACTTCGAAACCAGAAAAAAATTATCACAGCTACGAACTTGAGGCTCTAGCCGTCTTGGAATCGTTGGAGCGATTCAAATACTACATTTATGGCAAAAAGATAAAGGTTATCACCGACTGCAATGCCCTAAAGACGACTATGGAGAAACGTGAACTGATACCCCGGATTGCAAGATGGTGGTTACGCATTCAAGAATTCGACATAGACATCGTTCACAGCTCAGGAACACAGATGAACCACGTAGACGCACTCAGTCGAGCTCCATTCGAAGACGCTCGAGAGATGGATACCGCAAGTCTGAAAATAGCAAAAACGATAATCGACGAAGAGGATTGGCTATTTTCTATACAGCTACAGGACGAGGAAGTACAGAAAATTGTCTCCGACATGAAATTGGAAAAGAAATCTGAGACCGACGAGTATGTGATCGAGCAAGATCGCTTGTTTCGAAAACATGGTAACAATTTGTTATGGGTTGTGCCGAGGCAGTTGAGATTCCACATTTTACATGAATGTCACGATAAGGCCGGTCATATGAGCACGGATAAGACTATGGCACGAATTCTAAACTTATTTTGGTTTCCCCAAATGCGAAACTATGTCAAAAGCTACATAAAATCCTGTGTGGGCTGTGCGTTTTATAAAACACCAGGTGGACGTCAGGAAGGTCAGTACCACTACGATGACATCAAGCCGATTCCCTTTTCAACGATACACATGGACCACCTGGGGCCATTTCCAAAGAGTTCCAAGAGAAACGAGCATATTTTGGTAATAGTCGATGCATTCACAAAATTCACCATTGTACGAGCGGTGAAAAGTACAGCAACTAAGCACGTCGTGGATGTCCTGCAAGATGTAACCAGCTACCTGGGAACGCCAGATCGAACAACAACATCATTCAAAGCCAACACCAAAAGATGCTAACCGATGCGGAATTGGATCAACTTAGAGCAGATGCTGCGACAACTGTCAACGATCACCGAGCTGCTGCTAAGAAACGCTACGATGCCAAACATGCGAAGCCAACTGTTTACAGCCTTGTAGACCTTGTGCTGGTCGAGAATGAGCCATTCAGCACGGGCACATCACGCAAATTGGAGCCGCGCTACAAAGGACCTTTTATAATCAACAAAGTCCTGCCGAACGACAGATATCTTGTAGAAGATATCTTTCACGTACAACGAAAGCAGAGGCACTACAAGTCGGTGTATTCGTCCGACAAGATGAAGCGCTGGTGTGAGCTGCCACCGGAGGAGCCCGATGAAGATGGCGACTTTGAAGATGATCCACCCCATGCATCCTGCGAGGACGCAGAGATTTGTCAGGAAAGGGGACTGTGAACAGCGCCTAATATAGTATATACCAAACCTTCGATATTAGTGTAGAATAAGTCCCTTTTTATAATGTTACCAGACTCTGAAAATGTAAAGTAGTCGAGACAGAGTCGTACTCAAGAGCAGAACGTGCGCAGAACACTTATAGTTATAATTTCTATATGTAATAATATATCCAACGCAACTATCCTAAATAAAACCTACACCACTCGAAAAGCTACCCTTCTCAATTGTTACTATTTGCCCCATGACGAGTTCTTCCGCGGCTTTTTGAAAACTCATAATCTGCAGCAAATTCGGCTAAACAGAGGCCTGAATGGGAATCTGGTCTTTGTTCGTGTCTGTCCAGCAAACCTTTCTGATAGATGTCAGTGGAACTCAGAGGCATATTTTGCAGGACGCTTAGCATACGAACTCGATGATTTGGAGGGAAGGTGTTGATATGAACGAAATACCCCTTTGGGATTTGGTAATATTATTAATAACGTACATACTTCAGCAAGCCAAAGCGTCAAAAATTAACTGGATTTCCTTTTCTTACTTTTTGCATAACAAGAATGTGTTTATACTTCTTGGACGTTGATGCACTATGGTCAGCACAAACAAGTGGCCCTACGACACCAAGCAAAGCTTGTTACGCGCGGAGCCCATCACTGTTTTGGGCGAGTAAACATAATCGCGGACAAAGAAAAAGACAATGTAACAATAGACAATTAAAAATACAGGTCAATACGAATAGACAAAATACATCAAGTAAAACTAATTAGTTACTAGGGAGGATAGTATTATTGATTTAAAGATAGGAAGTGAGTCAGTAGTAGATATTAGATGATATAGTCTATTATAATCATTGCAAAGTACTCTAAAAGGTTCATGCATTGCGTAATTAGAGATACAGTGATTTAATACTAAAGGAATATAGTTTCTAGTGAATCTATTTGGCACATTAAAATGCAGGCGACCCAGTAACTCGGGACTCTCTACATGGTTTCCCCAAATGCGAAACTATGTCAAAAGCTACATAAAATCCTGTGTGGGCTGTGCGTTTTATAAAACACCAGGTGGACGTCAGGAAGGTCAGTACCACTACGATGACATCAAGCCGATTCCCTTTTCAACGATACACATGGACCACCTGGGGCCATTTCCAAAGAGTTCCAAGAGAAACGAGCATATTTTGGTAATAGTCGATGCATTCACAAAATTCACCATTGTACGAGCGGTGAAAAGTACAGCAACTAAGCACGTCGTGGATGTCCTGCAAGATGTAACCAGCTACCTGGGAACGCCAGATCGAACAACAACATCATTCAAAGCCAACACCAAAAGATGCTAACCGATGCGGAATTGGATCAACTTAGAGCAGATGCTGCGACAACTGTCAACGATCACCGAGCTGCTGCTAAGAAACGCTACGATGCCAAACATGCGAAGCCAACTGTTTACAGCCTTGTAGACCTTGTGCTGGTCGAGAATGAGCCATTCAGCACGGGCACATCACGCAAATTGGAGCCGCGCTACAAAGGACCTTTTATAATCAACAAAGTCCTGCCGAACGACAGATATCTTGTAGAAGATATCTTTCACGTACAACGAAAGCAGAGGCACTACAAGTCGGTGTATTCGTCCGACAAGATGAAGCGCTGGTGTGAGCTGCCACCGGAGGAGCCCGATGAAGATGGCGACTTTGAAGATGATCCACCCCATGCATCCTGCGAGGACGCAGAGATTTGTCAGGAAAGGGGACTGTGAACAGCGCCTAATATAGTATATACCAAACCTTCGATATTAGTGTAGAATAAGTCCCTTTTTATAATGTTACCAGACTCTGAAAATGTAAAGTAGTCGAGACAGAGTCGTACTCAAGAGCAGAACGTGCGCAGAACACTTATAGTTATAATTTCTATATGTAATAATATATCCAACGCAACTATCCTAAATAAAACCTACACCACTCGAAAAGCTACCCTTCTCAATTGTTACTATTTGCCCCATGACGAGTTCTTCCACGGCTTTTTGAAAACTCATAATCTGCAGCAAATTCGGCTAAACAGAGGCCTGAATGGGAATCTGGTCTTTGTTCGTGTCTGTCCAGCAAACCTTTCTGATAGATGTCAGTGGAACTCTGAGGC